ATCCACACAGGGTCAAAAGCAGAAATACAGACTCAAATATAGACATCAAATCACTTAATTCCCTTAATAAGTGCTATTCAATGTTCTACAATATCTATCAGTTTAACAAGGTGAAGGCCTGTTTACTTTTTGTTAGTGATCATGTTTGAATGCAACTGGTAGTTTCTTCTTTCCAAAAGGTGAGCAGACATCATATTAAACCCTATGGATTAAGAATGTAACTTGTGTTCATATGTGTGAAGGCAGCAAGTGAAGACTATTAGCAATATAGTGTATACACTTGAGCCTGTATGTGTACTTTTGACACTGCGTGGATTCGATAAAATCTAAAATAAATTCAAACTTGTTTTTTTGAAGTTATTAAAGATGTATGCTGTACAATCACTCCACCATGAAAAACGTACAGATCGCCATGCTATTACTCCCCAGGATGAGTAGACATAAACTTCTGACGACAATTCTATTACAATTAGGGTAGTCAGATTGTAGCAAACTACATAAAGAAAGGGGCAACGTGTTGGGCAATGTGGGAAGTACTGGTAACGTTGGTATAGCAAATTTTTATATGTTTAACATTAAAAACATAAAAACTATGCAAGTCCCTCACTGGTTTGGCATTGGTTCCCAGCTTCCTGGCAAAGTAAATACAACACAGATAAATAGAAACTGAAGTTTATTTTATGGTCTAACCTTTAACTCTCATTTCATCTGATTTTCTCTGCTTATCTTGTTTGGCATCAGTACTGATGCATCCATAGTTCACATTTCTTTATGAGCTGTGCTGACTAATATGTGGGACATTGAGTCAACTAGTGCATGCCCATGCTACAGTGTAATTGTCCCTTTTAACAGCAAAATCATGGCCTTACTTTAACCCACTTACTTGGTATATATGTGTTACTAATAAGTCCTTTAGTTACAGGTAGTCTCACTGCGATGGAGATCTTTTTCAAGAGGGAAAGGAGTACCAAAAAATCCCCTAAAACATACAAGAGCACTCACAAAATCTAGTGTAATAAATCTAGTGTAGTATATTAATCTTTTTGTGTTTTTGCGTTTTGAAGTTATATAATGTTGTACTGAAAAAATAATGTTTTAAAGAGCTTAAACAAAGAAAGTGCTTATATCCCCCAATGACTAATATATCACTTTAAGGAGATGATCCAATGGAAACTAAAGCTTTTTCCTAATTTGTGTGACCCTGAACTTTAACCTATGGCCTTGAAAATATTCTAAAATATATACCAAACATAAATACCACATTACAGTGGTGTATTTGATTATTTTTACCCATATGACTGGAGCAGAATTAACTGAAATCTTTGGCTTCTATAAGCAGAAAAAGAGATTTTAAGTCAAAGTTAAGTTTAAGTTAAATTCGTGCAGTCTGTGACTTTGTGACTTTATGGTGTCATTGTGATGTCGAATTGAAAAAACAAGAGCATTCGGAGAGTGCAACTCACCCTGAAGGGCAAGGACTATACTTTTTTTTACTATACTAAAAAAATAGATGTTTTATGATGTTTTTATTATAACATGCTGACATCAGCCTGCTTTTATTACAGTGCAGCAACCTCAGCCTGCTTTTATAAAGACATCCTAATGTCTGACCTTTGACCTATGCCCTTGAAGCATTGAATACTAAAATAGTCTGTTTTATTATCTTTACCTATATGATTGCAACACAACTGACTAAAATTTCTGGCTTCTATAAGCTAAAAAACCTTGAGATTTAAAAATATTTTCATTTTCAGTGCATGATTTTGCAAATCTTTATGCTGTCACTGTAACACTGTAGGGTATGGTATTTGGGGGAGGGCCGGGGTGGGGTGGTAGGTTGTACAGCTCTCAATGGCCTTTTATATGATATATTACTCGATATTGTTTTTTTGAAAAACTTTTCTGGGTCAACTTTACCTTTGGGTGCTGACAATGAAGGTCAAGGTCAAATGCTTAGCTAACCTAGGCTTGCATATTTTTGTAAAGACAACCTGTTAAAAAAAATAAGGTAATATAAAGAGCAATATAAAGATTTTATTGATTTTGGCATGACCTTGACCTGATTTTTTTGTAAATTAAATCAGCTCCGGCTGTTACTGGCATACCATCACACAAAATATGAAAATGATACCTTGAAAACTGTGGAGTCAAGATTGCTAACAAACAAACAGAACCATGACACCACCAGGAGAAAAATCCAGACAGACACTTAACATGAAATCAAAAAATGCAGTTTCACAATTTTTGTTTTCTTTGTAGCTCATTTCATAGGCAGCAAGGTATTCAAATCCAGTTTCTCCAAGACCAATGTGAATGGGAGGTGCAGCTAAAATGTCTTTCAGCCTTCTAAATAAATAAATCCCACTCCTTCATATAAGATACAACGGTGAGTAAGTGTGATACACAGAATCAAGAGGCTTCTGGGGAGACGGAGAAGCATACATATAAACACTGTCACCACTGTCATCAGACGCAGACAAAACTCTGGATGTTCACTGTGTACAGTGATGGTAATTCAGAATGCACCTGTCCCTCCTCAAAAGCAGACTCGTGAAAATTCCACACAGGTGCTGGAAAGCCGAGTCCATTTGTCTTTCGGGAAGCATTGAGCACTTGCAGTCTATAATGTTCACGGCGCCATGGTCTGTCGTTTTCTGACGGCCTTTCTCTGTCCACGCTGGTTTCTCGCAGTCTGCGCAAAGCTTGTGCGGACCGGTCATGGTCCAAGCGATGCACCTTTTCCTCACTGGTTTCGCGCAGTCTCCGTGAAGCCTGAGCCAGTCGATTATTTTGTAGGCGATGCTCCCTCTCCGAACTGGTTTCTCTCAGTCTGCGCAAAGCTTGAGCAGACCGGGCATGGTACAATCGACGCTGCCTTTCCTCGCTGGTTTCTCGCTGCCTCCGTGAAGCTTGAGCCAGCCTGGCATTTTGCAGCCGAAGCCGTCTTTCCTCGCTGGTTTCTCGCTGTCTTCGTGATGCATGAGCCAATCTGTCATTTTCTAAGCGATGCTGTCTCTCTTCGCTGGTTTCGTGCAATCTCCGTGAAGCTTGCCCCAGCCGCTTATTTTCCAGGCGATGCTCCCTCTCCAAGCTGGTTTCACGCCGTCTTCTGGAAGCCTTAGCCAGGCGGTCATTTTGCAGACGTTGCAGCCTTTCCAAACCGGTTTCCCGCTGTCTGCGCGAAGCTTGAGCCGACCGGGCATGGTACAATCGACGCTGCCTTTCTTCGCTGGTTTCGCGCTGTCTCCGCGAAGCCTGGGCCAGTCTGGCATTTTCCAGGCGAAGTCGTCTTTTTTCGCTGCTCTCGCGCCGTCTCCGCGAAGCTTGGGATACTCTGGCGTTTTCTAAACGACGCTGTCTCTCTTCGCTGGTTTCTCGCTGTCTTCGTGCAGCTTCTGCTAATCTGGCGTTTTCCAGTCTAGATTCTCTTTGATGCTGAGATTCAGTGGCCCTGATTTTCTTCTTCCGCATGGCATCCTTACTGCTGCGGCAAGAGCCTTTCCTTTTTCTAGGCATTGTGGTGATGTGACCCTCTCAAGGCCCCTTGACACAAAGAGCGACATGCGCTGCACTGACCGCTGGCTGGAGCGAATTTTTCTGCTGGCCCTCTGCTGCGCTCTGCCGGTACGTCATTTTTTGCGCCCGCTCTACGTTTACTAGATGCGTCTGCTGCTTGTCAATGAAAACCATGCGTCTCTCATCTACAAAGGAGAAGGCATTGGCGTTGAAGTAACCGTACTAGTGAAGAAGAATGTACTCAATGACCTTAACTGCACATGCCTGCAACAAATCTGTGTGTGTGTGTTCGTCTGTGAACTTCTACTCAATCAGGAGTTTGATAACACACAGGCACGACTCAGGGCCCCAAAAGTTCTTATCTATATCAGATGTCATGAGGTCATCATATTGCCTAGCAACAGACTAACAGTGAACCCATTTTCCTTGGAAGAAAAATATAAAGAAAGCAGGAGTGGCTAGAGACTTTTGCACAGTATTCATAACATAAATGCTAAAAAAAAATTGGTGGTTTTAGCTTGTTGGTATATCACCATCAAGTTTGACTGCATGTTGGTGGAGTTTGCAGACAAACAGATTTGGTATAAAATACATAAAACAATGGGGCAAGGGATACAAGTGCTTTGCAGATACCATTAAAAAGTGGAATACCTGGTCAGCCTAATTAAAGATTCAGACTTTGCCAGTACATCAGGTCCTCTGTGCCTCTTCGTTGTTTTTTATTTTACATTTTATTTCACTTGATTTAAGTAGTCGATAAGTTCATAGTTTTTCATGTTTTGAAATATGGTTTTATTTTAGCATTTGTTTCTGTTTGTTTCGAGGTAGACCTCCTCCTTCGTGCTCCAACAGGGCAATGACCCCCCCCCACCCCCCACCCCCCACTCCATGGCCTTCCTAGAGCTTCAACCTCGATCATACTGAAAATCGGGCAACAATGCTTAAGAGTGTCTTGAAACCAAGTTAAAGGAATTCTGCCATGAGTGTTAAAAAAATCTATCCAGAAATATGCCAGAAGCTTGTTGATGGATAAAAGTGTCTGATTGACGTGCAACTTACCAAGGCAGATTTAAACAAATAGTGTGGGTCTATGTATACCATATGTATACGTGGTACAAAGTCGTAACTCGTGGTGAGCATACGTAATCTTCTGACTACAACTGAAGATCATTGATTTTTTTTTTCTTTTAAGGAATAACACATCTTTTAATCAAATGTTTGATTTATTGATAAACTGTACAAAACATACAGTATTTTATAAAGGTAGGTTAACATGAAAGCTCAATGGGAAATAAACAAACAGTGTTACTATCAGAATTAGGGATCAGTCTGAAATCTTTTATTTATAAGTTCTTTCATTATGTTCCTTTTGACCTCATATATTCAGAATATATTCTGCAAATGTGATTGGTTTAAAATTCGTTGTCAACAGTAGGAAACAGCAGCAGTAACACAGTAATTAGATTTCAGAATGGGGAAAAAACATTTAAAACAAGATAAAAGTAAAATCTCAGCAGCAAAAACAATGTGAAAATGTACAATTACAACAGAAGCTAAAGGAAAGAATATTCCAGCAGCCAGACTGGACTCCTTCCATTCAGTACCATTAGACTAAATACCCAAATAAATAGTAGATTAGCAGATTAGTATCTTGAGTCACAGGATAAATGACAAGTGTTTGGAAAAATACCAACACTACATATCTCTTCTAGCATTTGGTTACAGCCTCTTGGGTCATTTCAGTAAATGTAGGATTCTTTGAATGCTTCATTGACCAAATGACCCTGATGTATTTAAACTACTTTTCTTACATTTGATTTTTTATATCAATTACAACAATTCTCCAATCATGTCACTTCAAGACAGCTCATGGATGTCCTCTGTCCGCAGTTAATAATCTCAGTTGACAAATCCATTTCAAGAAAATCTGGAGTATGGGTTTTGTCCACTTAGACCTGGAAAACATTAAACAATCAGTAAGAGTTGCCCTGATTTAAATAAATTGTTTGATATATTCGCGCAAAATGGTAACTATGAAGTCAGTGCCAGATTACGGTGAATGTAGCTTAGCACGGACAGGAGTAAATGGCTAGCCTCGCACTGTATTGTATCATAGCTAAATAAAAACTTACCAGCCTCTCTTAAACTTTTATATTTAGCTTTATGGTATACACCCATCAGCCATAACATTACAAGGACCTTAGCAGGAACATTTAGGTTGTAGGTTGGGCCTCCATGGATCAGACTCCAGGAGGTGCTCTTGCAGGATGAACTGGAACAAGTCTTGCGACTGTGTCTATCTTTTCTGCTCAATTAACCCTGATACTATGCGAGTGCCAGTGCAGAAGTAATTACTCATTGGTGTCTTTTGAAAATCATTCATATTATAGCAGGCCTGCAAAGTTAACATAGTGTTATGTGTTGCCCACTGGGGTGATTTCCACTCAAAGAAAACCTGGAGGACATAATCTGATGCTTTCTCTGAATTTCTTGCAGTAGCCAGTTCCATATCCATAAACATCTGAATTTCATTAGTAGAAAAGAGACATTTAAATAGTATAGCTCTGAACTCTCTGGACCTTATGGACACAGTCAGACAAGCTCTTTTTTCCCCTCCCCAGCAGTTATGCTAAACTGGGCAAAGTGCCTCATACTGGTAGCACAATACAGAATCAACTTTCTTAATCACGCGCTCTCATATCTACTAAATGACATTACAGGTGTAAAAAGAGCCACATTTTGTTTTGTAGAGTAAGTCATAATTTAGATGCTGTATAGGTAGCCGATTGCTGACACACACAGACTAACAAAGAGAAAAGCTCACCATATTTCTGCCTGATTTCCTGGTGTCTCTGCTTCATCTCCGCCCTCCTGTAAAGACAAAACATTCTTCCATAAGTCACAGGGCGACGACTAATGATTTTTCAGAATGTCAGACTCGTGGAAACAAACCAGTTTGGGCTGATAACAGTATGACGTCTGCATTTTTCCCCCTCGTGTGTGTTGAAAGAAAGCGATGCTAATCATAGCTATCAATGCAAAAGGTAGCCGGTGTGTCGCACCTAGTGCAACTATTACAGAACCAATAAAAGCCCAAAATGTATAATTGTTGTTTAGAGGAAATACATGTAAAGTATAGAGAAATAACTCCAATTTGTATGTGTTTATAGCAAATATTTAATGTTAGCTGAGAGAGATGCTGTTCTATAGGAAGAAACTTTGTCATAAAGACATGGTGCTGAACTGTAGTTTTGTTTTTTCTCATGATTTTTGAATTTTAATTATATAAACTAGAGATTTAGGCAGCAATTTAGAGTCCACCAACTCTTTAAAGCCACGTTTTGTTAAGTTATAGCTATGGATGTATCAAATACAGAGACCAACCAGTCATAGGGGGTGAAACAGTATTACAAAACAAAACATGATATTGCCACCTTTCGTCCTGCTTGGTTCTCAGCTTATTGGCCTGCCGCTGCATCTTGGCCTCAGACCTGCTAGATCTGAAAAAACAAGACCAGTGTTAGATTTATGTAGTAGAAGGAAAAGATTGCTGATTATTACTAACAAACTCATAAGAAAGCAATCATCGCAAGGTATGTTTAAAGAAAAGCAATTTAGTGGCATTCCTAGTGTGAATAAATGTGGGCAAGTGTTGTGAGTTTAAGATGGGGTTGAACCCTGCAAACGTAGAAAACTTCTTTTTTTTTCTTTTTTTTTTAAATTACCACACTTTTCTGAACTGAATCAACTTTAGTTCAGCCTTAACTTAATAAAACAGCATCTGAAAGTCAAAAATGGTGCCAGATGTGGATGACCTATGAATCAGTCAACTGCCAATTGCTTGACAAGGGGGTCGAGTTAAAGAGTGACAACAGAGTCCAGCAAGAACAGCAGAAGAATGAGAAAAGAGTAAGTCAAAGAATAAAAATACGCCATGAAAAGCACAGACAGGCTCCACAGTAGACACATTTCACCGTTTTTAAACTGTTTCACTTCAGCTCTTTGTAGTTATAATTTCCCTTTCCTCTGTGGCTGGCTCATGAACCAACAACAGCAGAAGCAAGAGTAGCCCACAGACTGGATGTGTCACATGTTCTTGACACAGCCCCAATCCACAATAAACACTCTCTGCAGGTAGACGGGCAGTACCTGACTGCCTGCAGACTGCCTTTGTGCTACTTCACGCTCACGCATAAGCGGAAACACTCCCATTTTCAGGATTGCTTACGTGTAACATAATCATTTAATTGAAGGACTTGATGGGTAGTCAGTACATATCTTAACCTGTTGCACACAACTAATAATATAATTGCTACAATGTATTCTACCAGCATCACACTGGCTGGAATGAGAGGGTTTTGTCAACCAGAGCTCACATTACACTTACCCGATGTTCTCACACTTGCAGCAGCAGAACAGACAGACCAAAAAGGCAATGATAAGAATGGCACCAACCACTGACAATGTGATTATCAAGATCTGGAAGTTCACTGCAGACAGAACCAGAGTGACAACGTCATTCAGAAATCACAAATCGCAGATTTATCTTCCAGATAGAAAATTCTTGTTCTTCCTCCTTCATTAGGTTGCGTTTAATTTCCTCTTCTCAAACCAAATCATTCTACAGATGTACTGAATAAAACTTTAATGTTTTTTTTTTGACTCGCTGATAAAAAAAATAACAAGGATCAAAGACAATTTTAATGTTTAATATGCAAATGTGCTTCTGTAAAAAGTTCTGCATCAAGATTTTAAAGATGTAATAGTACAAAAGCATGTGGACAAAATGAATGTTAACATGAATGGGTTCCTATTTTACTACCAAACTATTGGATAGCACGCTTTGTACAGGGAGAGGCTGTCACGGTGAAACAGGATAGGGCTTTCCCCCATCCCGCTATTGTCTAAAACGTATCTACATGCTGAAGCACTTATTCAAAACAAACAACCCCAGACGCAAAATCTACAAACATGGAGGGTTTTTTTGTTTTTCCACTTTAGTGGTTTAGTGAAACTTTCATCAACAGCAAATCAGGATAAACTGTTCCAATCTTCATTCGTGAAAAAATAAGAATTATGAAGATGCAGGATCTTTTAATCTCTATTTGTAAGTATTTATTTTTTTAGGAAATAATTTTTTTAAGAGTAAGAGCCTTTAAATATAACTATTTAGTTTTTATTTATCCTTGGCACGGTGCTGATTGGGAGCCTGTTGCAGTAGCTCCTGTTCCAATTTATTTATTTTGAAATTATTTCATAACCTACTAAAGTGGATTTTTCTTGCTCCTTGTAGTTTATGTGGAGGTGAAATAGCCTAACAAGCCTACTAGTGGTTTTTCGTATCACTACAATCTCAGCAAGTCGCAGAAAGGGGCTCTACTGCTTGGAACGAGGCCTGTAAACCTGGGGGACCTATGAGGAAAATGATGGAGACAAAGCTGATACAGCCAGCATCATGGGGAATGTATGTGGCTGCCCAATAACATGGATTAGTTCAGTGAGCTGATTAAGAGCAGAGGGAACACAGTGAGTGTTGGAGTAGCAGCAAAACACTGTGCACACAGTGTGACTGTACCTGGCTTCAGGACTTTAGTAAGATGTGTTATGTGAAGGGATTGCACAATCCCAGACATTTTATTGTATCTGGAACACTGAAGTGCTAGCTGTGGGAATGAGTCCATGTTATGCGCAAAGGGAATTAATTGTTGCTGTTGCATTTTGATGCTGAGGTCAGCCAAATGACGGTGGCTATAGATCCTCTCTGCACCACTTAATTAACACCTCATCTAACATCTGTTTCAGCTCAGCTGCCACAAGGACAGACGCAGAAGTTCTTTGCTACCTCATACCACAATACATGCCTTCATTTTAGGTTTAACCTCCTAGTATAGTATCACATTTAGATTTTAATCCATAAAGCACTTGACTTTCTTGTATTTTTCATTTAACCTGAGCTCCTTCTTTGGAGTAATTTTTAATTTTCCAATTTTTTATCATGATTGGACTGATGCAACACAGTAATTTCTCAACTTCAGGGACATGTAAGTATTTTTGTCTTATACAAGAATGTCGTTTATTAATTATCACTCTAACACACAGAGAAAAAAAGAAAGAAAATCACCAAATAAGCTTCAGTCGGACAGTGTACTGGACAGCATATTTAACGACTTTAATTCAATTAACTAAATGTTATCAATGTGATCAGCTTGTGTGTGTGTGTTTTCTTACTCCAGCAGAGTCCCCATCGTGCATCATTCAGAGGGCAGAGCGCATGGGGTGGGAGGATGGTTCTCACTGGATATGTTACACATGACTTTGTTGTGATGCACCACAAGCACTGTTTAAAAAAAAAAAAATTTGCACAATGTCCCTATTAGTTAAACAGAAAAACAAAAAAGGAAGTATGCGGGCTAATTACAGGAAATTACCTTTTTTAGGCTGTGTGTGATAGGCACACACAGCCTAAAAAAGGAGCAGGGTGAGAATTCATGAGATCAGTTACTTCTCAAACCAGTCAAACAGGTCTGGGTTGGAGGAGGAGACATCTATTCTGACCATGCACACACACAGAAACTCTGTTAACCCAAAAAAGAAATCAGCCAAGCAGAAATAAAACGCTCTCTCAGCGAACTTACCGTCACATTTTTCAGACATTCCTCACAGCTTGTCCCGTTTTTCAACTCACACACTGTAGGTCAAAGAAGTTAATACAATCGAGTTAAAGGACATAATGGGCAAGGTGGAAACATTTTGCCTCAAACGTTAAGGCAAACATGACTGCAAAACTTGTCGAGTTTAAATGAAAGCACCATGAGGAGCAGATTTAAAAAGGCCTGGCATGTGCCCACTCTGGTTTTTGTAACTACTGGTGATCCTCCTGGGACATTTTCCATGGCGACTAAGTACAGCAACTACACAGCCTGTGGAACCAGTCATGTTATTATCAGCAGACATACACAGAACAACAGCCGGGTTTGTGCGAGTGAAGCCATGCATCTGTAAAATGGAGAAACAATGTCTCATATTTGTGTGCCACAGTTTCTCTTAGTCTCTGCTCTGAAACAATCAAGCACCCCAGGGGCTGAAAAAGAGACTCCTTGTTCCTGTTGAGAGGTTTTAACAGTTTTCAGAGACAGGAATCTTACACAGACACAATTCTACCAACAAAGTTGTGTTTTTATTCCTTTTAAGCTTAAATGTGGCCGGTACGTAAGGTTATCTAATATATTTTATAATAAATAGTTTCAGTGTAGAAAATGCAAACAATGACATTTTAATTCTAGATGTTTGGGTGCTTTTCTCCTCAGTTCAAGGCTTATGAAACAATGCTTTATGAATATAATAGCCCTTAAAACTGTTGTGACTTTACTGAACAGATAAAAGACTCACATTCGGGGTTTTGAGCAACCTGTGCGTAGCTATAAAGATAAAAACAACAATACTACTAAAAACAATAATAATAATAATAATAATGAATTAGAAAGCAGCTACATCTGATCAAAAACAAAAAACAAAGCTTTTCAGCTTAACTAATTCCTCAGCCCCCACATTCACCGATTCCTTTCCTACCGTTCTCAGGTGTGGACGAATCGGCGAAAACGCTCGCCAGGCCGAAACCAAAGAGAAGAACAGCCAATAATATCCGTAAACCCATCATCCAAGAGCGTAGACTCAGATTCTCCTCCAATTTTTTATGTTTCAGAAGATTTTAGAAGAGAGTGTAAGCGCAAAAGGAGGAAATGCCTCGGCTGCTCCGACAGAAGTCTGAAACCTGAGAAGTGAACTTGCTGGGAAGGAACCAAAAGCAAAATCCTGACGCACGCTCTCTTTACGCACCCAAACAGACAAAAGAGGGAAAGGCGTTGGCAGAGCGCAGTGCATTTCGATATACGTCATTTAAACTATGCGCTGAATAAACAGAGTTTACAAAAATAGCTGCTTTGACACACACAAAAAGTATATTTTTAAAAAGTCACAGTTAAAACATTAGTTTTTTTCCTGATGGATCATACCTTTTTACAGCTGTTTCGTTTAGTCCATTCATTCCCAAGCTCTGTGTTGGCCTCCCACAGTAGGAAAGTGACTCTATAACAAATGCTAACACATAACAGCTAATTGTTGTAGAGGACTTCATGAGCTAGATGTTGTTGGGCAGCTTAGCTCCCCAGCTCCTCAGCTCTTCTAAAGCTTCCATATTTTGTTTCAACAAATTAGATGATAAACTTCATGAAACGAACAGAACATCCAAGGGCAAAGAGGTTTGGAGCCCTAGTGCCAGCACATGCACAGCTCCCTGAAAAACTTCCACTCTGTTCAAAAATAAGTACACAAAGATCACAGTAAATATAGGACCATTTTCAATAATTTATTAAAGCATAATTTTGTAAAGCCAGTTACAAATAAAAAAAGAACACCACACATATCTCTCTCTTTCTCTCTTTTTTGTTGTTGTTCTTTTTTGTTTAAACAAGCACAATGTTTTACTATGTAAAGGTGATAATAAGCGTAACACAAGATAAGAGTGGGCCCCACTTTGGCCGCCTGCGGCTGATAACAGGACCCTTTGTGATGAAGTTGCCCTTGAAGACAGATTTGTAATCAGAATTCCCATTAAGAAACATGCTGATCACATTTCAGCAACTACAGGGCAAGTTCTTCTTACTCAGTGTAATATCAGTGACAGACAGAACCACAGATGTAGAATAACCAGATCTCACAGCTCCAGGGTCCTCAGGATTTATGGCTTGTGAACTTCAATTTTTCAGTTTTTCACTCCTTTTTTTTTTTTTAGATTAAACTAAATTAACCAAAAGTTCAAAGTGGAACCTGTGAGTGAGTTCTGCTTATTCTAAATCTACAGGCAGGATCCCAGTGGGCTGTGTGTATGCTTTCAGGCCGTAGCTATGATTAAAGACACTGAGGTTATTAAAATTTGGAGAATTTTAGCAAATCTCTGCATTGTACACTTACAACTTTACATGTCGTAGAGACTGATTTCAATATTCTTAGACTTTAAATTGTTATATTTAAAGAAGCAATTCAGGGTTTTTTTTTCATTAAATCTGTGGATAAATTTATTTTTGGTTACTGGGCAACACTTCAGAGGGGTTGGAGGGGTTTTGGATTCACAGCCTCAGTTTTTCTAAAATCATCGCTGCCACCCTGTAGAGTATGTGATGAACTAGAAAAACAACAACATATTTCACCTGAAGAACTTCACTTTAGTGTCTGGTGTGAAAAGCCAAACCAGATCTGTCTTTGGGGCAAATCCTGAAAATCTTATTGCCACAGAAACAAGTTTAGAAACTTCATCTAAACCAGATAAGACAAATAACTGGAGCATGTTGTCATGCTGGACGGTAACTTTCCATGCTATGCGAGCACTCCCAGTGGATATCTGCTTTGTGGGAACACTTTGTTTACAGTGCTCTCTGCAGGTGTTTGACATGAGTGCCATCTAGCTGCAATGCACAGCATCAGGTGACCTCACTTCGAGTCCAAAGAACACACACACGCATGCACACACACACACACACACACACACACAAAGCAGTGATGAATTTCAGCATTCCAAGTGCACAATTAAACTTTTTCCAAGCCCGTGTCCTCACAGTGTCGTATCTGCTTCTTGTACACTGATGCCGAAAAAAAAGAATAATCAAAAGCATATTTTCATTCTTCCTGAACAAACTTTGCAACACATACAGCACAATAGGAAATAAACAACCCCTCAACCCTCCCATGATATTCCATGCTTTTCCCGTTAACTCACAATTACAACACCATTCTTCGCAAAAGTTACTCATGTAAATTCATCTCTTTTTTTCCAAGGAATACAGTAGTATCACTAGTATCACTTCAGTAGTATCGCTTCTCTTTTCCCTTCTCGTATCCAACAGTTTACGCCATTAATACACTCACACACACAGCAGCAATGCAGACACAGCACTTTAGGTTGGCTAAGATAGGGGGAATACAATAATAACAGTATTATCAGTAATTGTTTAAATAAAAATCACATGTTCATAAATAGGCTAAAAACACAGACAAACAAGGTTGTGTGCATTTTTGCTTAAGTCTCCTGATCTCTGAAGAAAAAAATGAGAATAGCTTGAGCAGATGAGGATAGACAGGATTTCATGGCTCCAATTAATTCTTCAGAGTGAGTCCAACAAATAACAACAATGATAAATTCATCAAAATGCTGTTAGAAATATGACCACGATAGCAGCCAGACTCACTATAGTCTGTTTCCTTTTTTCTTTTTTTTTATCTTACTCTTACTTCTCTGTGAGTCACATTAATGGCACAGCCAGTGTACAGTATTGGCATCATATTCAGACATACAGTGGTCATTATTAACACCAATCACTTGCATGTATCTTACATGGCAGGTGTCACATTGCATTTAGTATGGCATTTATATACTGTACAGTGCAGCGGCCACCAAAAATGTAACAATAATTCTTATTATAATGTGTGATATACGATACAAAATGATACATGTTTGTTCAGTTTATGTGTGCACGTAGGCGAATATACACATTTATCCAGCTTGTGTGACATGTAGACATAAATAGGGGAAAGTTTGCTGGGGGGTTTTCTGGCCATTGTTCTGGATATTGTTCTTGCAGAGCCAAGTGAGGCTCGTAGCCATGCACATACTTTGGAGAGCATCCAAAGTAAATCTTTCTTCTCTGGAATATTTATAGGATTTTTTTTTTTTAATACTTAAAGCCGCTTCCTTTGGCTGAGTTTTCTTCTTGTGGCCACACAGTGGCGCTGACGAGTGAGCAGGTGAACACTATGTTGTTTGGTGACGAATCACCGAGTCCTTTTCCTCAGACGTGACAGAGCTGATATTATCGATAACAGACAGAGAAAGCAAGCAAGAACAAGAATTTAGCATTTTAACTTAACAGCGACCGCAAACAAAGAGTGAGGATATATAAAGAGAAAGAGAGAGACTCGGAAATTAGAGGAGAAGTGAGATAGAAACTAACAAAACTGAGAAAGTGTGGCTTTCTTCTGTCTGGCAGTGCAATGGAGGTTGGAGGAGCCACCTGGGGCTGACTGGGACTGGGTGGCTGCTTTGTGCTTGTTGTTTCTGAATTTGTCCAAAAACGGAGAGTTTGGTGTGTGCTTGAACATCTACATGCAGGACTACTGCTGAGGGTTATGTATTTGATGGGACAGCCCCCCAAAACAGTTTTTTTTTTTCATGCTATTTCATGTTACGTTATTAATAGATCTCCAGGCCAGTTGAGTGTGCATTTGGCTTCTGTGTCCACTTTTTCCCCATTTTTGTAATTGATGCTCATTCCCTGCTCATGATTCAACGTGGGAGGTTGAGCTGGTTGGTGCGACTGCCCTTTATAAAACACAACCAACCAATGCAAGGAGCCAAGGCGTCTGGTGTCACTAGATGGATGAACGAAGAGCTTTGACTGGCTGGGAGAGATCACCTGACCCAGGCACTGGCAACACTGGACACAGACATGATGCTGCAGCGTTTCTTCACCATCATGTTGATGTAGGCCCGCATAATCTTGGTGATCTCGCCGACCTAAAATGTGAAAAAGGAGATTAGTACATCCTAGATAAAAGGTATCAAATCCTACGCTGAGAAAATACGCTGAGGGGGGGGGATGATTAGACAACGAATGATGAGCTCTCACCAGTGGAGTCTCAAAGTACATCTCCCTCTCATCCACGATGATCTTGTAGGTGCAGGGCTGTGACGCTCCAAAGAAGGTGATGTGTTCGTACTGGAAGGTCTCGAGCGGTTTGGGTTCTCCTCGTTTATACACAGACACGTTGTCAGCGCTCACACCCAGCCACAGATCATGAGGGAAACCTCCCTCTTTACACTAGCAAGAGAGGAGAGAAGGGAAAAGAAGCAGATCAAATTTATTTGTACAAAGCTCCAAAATTGATCTTCTGAGCGTTTTTCCTCACCTCCACATCAAATAGAGTGGAGCCATATCCTGGCCACTCCTTAATGATGCTCATGTATTTCAGCATGGCCTGATGCTGCGGCATGCCCTGCAGACGAGTCCACTTCTCGAGCACGCTGGTCCGTGTGGCAGACGTCTCCTCCTTCACCCACATCTCAAGCATTTGCTCATCCTCCATCTGAAACAATCAGCGAATCCTCCGAACTATCATGTGTATATTTATTTATTTATTCATTTATTATTTAGTATAGCAGGAGACGGATTTCAGTGAACTTAAGATGCAGAATTGTACAAATCACTTTTGCAAAGTAGAATTTTAAAATGAAGTAGCTATATTTTCTTTAACTTTAATGAAAAACTTCTTTTTCCTCCATCACTGACCTTCTGCTTCTTCAGTGAACCAGTCTTGAAACTTCTCCTAAGGGTGCCATCCAGGAAGCTCGGAGTCTTTCGTTTCTCTACGCAGGGCCCGACACCACCTTGTCCTACTGCCACGCCTTTTCCATCTACAGCTCCAACACCTCCAGCCCCTCCAGCTCCACCTGTCACCCCCACACCCGGTTTGGTGGAGTGCAAAATGCGGTTGCGCAGACGTCCAATTGGGTAGACGCTCCCCAGGCTCCACCCGGCTCGACCTGCCCCATCACCGTGGAGATACTGAAGACGTAAAGCGGCCAGGTGCTGCAGCGTTTCCTCCGAGGCCGGGAAGTGACCACTTATCAAAGATTCGTGCGCCTGGGAGAGAGAGCAAGACAGTCTGCATTTCTGACACTTATATTTCCTGACTGGATCACATCTTCAGCAGGAAGAGAAAATATCAGGCTCAATTGGAATTGCGTTCAAATACTGCTTTTGTAATCTTACTAAAAATGAATACACCTAGTCATACATTCATGCCAGAGAACCAGCGAGT